GCTCATTGATTGTCTGTTTGTGTTGTAACTGTTTTCGTCGTGTAAGCAATATCCTCTAATCTAACCCAAAAGAAACCGTTTTTAAAACTAAATGATTTTTTTTTTACTTTTATGCAATAGGATCGAAGTAAGAAGTAGGGAACTACATGGTCAAATCACAAAAACACCAAAAAATAATGAAATCCAAACATGTACAACGTAAATATCTTGTTACTTACATCCCATCATTATGTCAGTGTCAGTGGGGTAGGATTATGAATATTTACATAACCGAGCGCGTCAAAGGTTCAATAACACAAACATTGCCTATTGTTGGATTAGAACTGTACCCCGCCGTGATGGCATTCGACGTCATACCGAGACAGCAGTGAAATGTAGGGCTTCATAAACAAGGGAAGAACGACCGCCATTAGAAGTAAAAGGGTTAATGTTCCCGTTTTATTGCGTTTACTATATATCGTAGGCGTCCAATGCTGTACCATAAAAGTTATTCATTTTATTGCTATTCAGAATATTCAGATCATGCGTTTCTTATATTATCAATGGTTATGTTATGGTGCGTACCTACTCTCACGTGTCAGCGAATTCTTCGATTCTTATTCCAAATTTGAATTAGATAACGTCATCATATATGCTATAAATTCATCTATTCGTTCTATTTTTAAAACTCGGTCAACCAATTTTAAATTTTAAATTCCTAATAATTTTATTAGGAATTGTATGCCTTATGTCAAAGGTACTTATGTATCTAGGTACATAAGTAGATAACGCAATGTACATACTTAATTTATTATTTACCTTCATATTTTGTTATTTATTTACAACAATGAAACAAAGCATTAAGTATTCATTCCGAACATCTGTATAAATACGACTCTAATACTTATGATTTATTATATTTACTTAATACTTGTATATTTAATACATTGTAAAATTTTACTCCTTTAGATTTCCACACCAATCGATTGTTTCCAATTTTATTACAAAATTTTTATTTTTATCGATTCTTTTATTATTATCACGTTGGTGATAGGGGATTGAAACATCTGATACGGATACGTAACCCTTGATAAGTGACATTCTTTATGAATATGAACCTTTACAGAAGGAGGTGTATCAAAGGTAAATAAAGTACCTACACAGATTTATTTGCACCACGGATGCGGTAGGTAGATAACTAGGTAGGTACCACAAAATATATAAAGATATTTATTTAACATTTATTATTTTTTTATATTTATTATTAAAAAAAAATCTATGTTAATATTTAAAAGTGGTCTATTTGACTTCAGAGACTTACTTCAGAGAAATAAAAACATTCCAGGTATCTATAGAAGATCAATACAATAAGATTTTAGTTTAGTAGATACATAGGTAGGTACTAAATTACAAACAATGCACAATTAATGTTCTGTTATTAATTTTTTTAAACCGTGTTAAAATGTCATTGCTCAGGCATTTAATTTAATAGACGCACTACAACTTTATCAACGAATTTGGTGTGCATTCCAATATAATTTCAAAATAAGCGCGAAATATTAAAAAGTATTGTTACTTTTTTTATTGTAAGAATTTCTCGCAGTATGTCCTACGAAATAACATTTAGAATGAATGAAATATCTACAAAGCTATAAATACAAATTACCTTATTATATTCCGAAGGTTTTTATTCAAATTTCACGATTACGTATCACGTTTTGTATCACTTATTTACACAATCTACAAACACGTCAGTCTCCGGTCACCAATTCTAACAAACTGGCGTTGTAAACGGTGCGTTTCCGACGAAGTAATCTTATATACAGCGTGATTTTGATAACAAAAGAAAAAAAGCTTAAAGAAAATAAACACTAATAACCTTACAATTGGTTTTATGGCCAAAAAATCCTAAAATCCTCTTAATTATTATAAATGCGATTTCGTAATCGTGTATCGATAGATACAGGTTGTTTTTTTTACTCTTTCACGCAAAAACTACTGAACCGATCTGCATGTGTCCCAAATTATATACCTAGTCTGAAATATCTCTGGAACATGGGCAAAGTCACTGGTAGAAGACTATTATGCTTAGTTAGATAAAATGCGTCAGTGTTAACTTAGTTAACTCAATTCAATTAGGTAATGACTAGACTGCGTGACATAAATGGCTGTTGATTAAATAGAAAGCACTTATAGTAATTAATTGTCAGGTTTTATTTACACAGCTCACTAGTTTCGCACGTGGAATTGCTTTATCTCGTTTACAATGATAAAATTACAATGTTGCTTTCAGAGAAGCTGGGTGAAACATTCATAGTTATGAAGCATTGTTTCAATTGTCGGCTGGGACATTCGGTTTCGATTCCAGGGCTAGACAAATTTGCTATTAGGTTTTATGAAATAAAGTGGGGATAACCCCGCTATATGGGTAATAGATAAGCAGACTTAGGTACTATCATACTCGTAATATACTCGTCACATTAGTCACAAAGAATTCGTAATAAAAATTGGATAGCCATCCTTTAAGAGAATAAGTAAATGCCTTATTACTATGAAATGTCCAAACTGTCTGCTATTTCCAAACTTATAGTTACAGCACAGATAATTTATTAATAAAATGACCGATATCCAGTTCCATTGTGTTTTATTACCTGTCAAGGTTACTGTTTGTAGGTCGTACGTACGAAGTAAATGAATTAATTCGACTTTTTACCAAAAAAATAACTATTTCGTTTATTTAGCGATTATATTTAAGTACAGTTACTGCAGTTTTAGAAAAAAAGACAATACATTAATTTGAAAATATATCGAAATTGGTAGTACAGTACCTACCTACAGTAAAATTATCATTTCATTTATTCTTATTTATCATTTCATTTATTGTTTATTCACCGTATTTATTTTATTTAAAAGAAAAAAGAAATGAGCACATCGGCAAACCAGTTTCGTAATACATCATTTAAACTTTGGATAAGGAAAATGAGCTAAATAACAGAAAATTTTATGTAAATAATATATTATATGTATAGGAAACGCTACTTATCAACAGTACTCACGTATCTGGGTTTTACAAATGTAAACAATATTTTACACATACATTACACTACAATCACTAAAAAAATTAAATATAAAAAATAAAAACATTTTAATTTATTTATTTAATTCATTCATTTCATTGACAAAATCATGGCCACCTAGAATTTGTGTCAGTATTATCATCGGAAATCTTATCAATTTTTTTTGTCAATCTGCTATGTAGTTGCCTACTGCTGCATAGTATTTTATTCATCCAATATTTTTTATCAACAGGTAAAAACGTGTGGTGATAAAATTATTTAGGTCAAAAAGTTTCGAGCAGTTTCACTGTTTGAACTGTATCACTTATTATTTAATTCATTGAAAATACAGTCACAGAATCTTGATGATAGTTTATTCTGAATTACTATCAAGCATTTAAAAAAACATATGTACCTAACATATCTGATTTTGTTTTTGTTCCAAATTGTATGGTTTAGTTAAGTGACCACTTACCTCAACATTGACGCTTTTATTTTTAATTAGGAGGGTACCTATCTAATTATAAAAGTCACACTTGTCGGCTCTGTGCTGCACTTGATTTTCTAAACAATTTCAACTATCTCACATCGAATAATTTAAAAAATAAATAAACCTGTCCAAGTCTACCGAAATCATTTGTACGATTTATCTGTCTAGAATATTTCTAATGTATATTAAAATGTACTCACCCTGTATTTAAAATTTAACGTTTGCACTTTTTAGTCGACTTTGTTTCCCGCCTAAAATATTACGCGAACTGACGTGCAGTAGCTTTCGTACGAAGTCACTCACTGCGTCAGTGTACCTACTGAATGAAGGCTGACGACCTCAACTTTACTTTTATTTCAAACTGATTAAATATTAAAATGATGTAGGTGTACATATATGTTACATTAAATATTTTATGTAATCGGGTAGGCAATCATAAATATTGTTTTATAAATCACTAGGTAAACTACCTATACAACCACCGTGATACAACTGTGTGTTCTGTTTGTTTTTAAAGCAGGAATTTGTGGTATTAATTACTATAGATAAAATTGTGGTTTCTATAAATACATATTTTCAGTAAATAATATCTAACTAAAATGTAAAAAATTAGCAATGCACGTTTATTACTAGCATGCTTATAGTTTCGTGTAGTAGCAATTATCACATTCAAACAAGTGCGCAACTGGCACTACACATTATTCTGCATAGAATTACCAAAATTAAATGTATTTTGATGTTTTACAGAATGAAGAAACTATAATAATCATCATACATTACACACCTCGTAGTCAGTACTATAAATACAATTCAAAATTTAAGGTAGTATCGAACTCGATTAGAAATCTTGTATTCCTAATCGATTATAACTATTTCCCACAACGTGTACGGCACTAGCGTCGCGTAAAATTAAAATATATCGGTATTAATTTTCTGTGGACCAGTATTGCCAGTGCAAATACTAGTAATTTTTTTTATTTTTTATTGAAAATTATTGATTAATGTAATAAGATACTTTTTCATAAACAATTTTATTAGTTAAAATGTTAATACCTAAATCTACTCTAAAATATTTATTATGAAATTAAAATAAGGAGCAACACAACGAAGAACACAAAACACTACACTAAATTTGGCATTTTTTTCATTTTTCAAGTTTGCGAATTTAACTGGCAACTTCCCCTATTATACTCTTTGCTGGCAACATTAGAATTGTCTTTCAATATTCGTGAAAAAGCTCGTTGTATCGTATTGAGCGATTTCGAGCATTTTGCGTTTAACTATTGTTATATTTTGTGATATTTGTTCGTCTAATCTCATATTTTAGTTGTTATTAAAAATAACGTCAAACCAAAGTGGTATTACTTTTAAGTTCGCTAGTGTATTACTGACAGATCGATTCGGCGTTGCGAAGTTGCAGGTTATATATTGAAATATAGGTAGTTTCGGTTGTTAATTTGTTGCAAATCATCGATATGGAGAGCATGGATGTAGCACAAGAGGGAACGTCTGCAGCATCGACGCCGGCAGGAGAAAATGGTAAGAAATGTTTTGTTTGATCTGACCGCTTGGGTGTACGGAAACGTGCTTCGGTTTTTTACAGTTTTTTTCTGTTCTTTTGTGCTGTAGGCCCCGACAAGAATGTTACGGCGGAAGAGATGACTTCTAGGGACTATTACTTCGACTCTTACGCACATTTCGGCATTCACGAGGAGATGCTGAAAGACGAAGTCCGAACGCTCACATACCGGAATGCTATGTACCACAATAAGCATTTGTTCAAGGGTAAAGTAAGTATCTATTCGTAAGTCACCATAATTACACACGTAACTAGTTAGGCCCTAGAATAGTGCTCCTGTCTTGCATAGCAACAGTAAGTCCCTAATCTCATTGTTACTAACCCATGTTTTTTGAGGTATATTTTTATAACCTAAAATTGTGACACATTGTTTACATTTTATTATGTTGAAACTAATTTTTATATCAATTTATGTGGTCATTATTTCATCTAACACAGTTTTTTAATTTTATTGCATACTGCAGCAGAGATCTGATTAATTTACTATTATCATGGTATTTAAAATTTTTGGCGCCATTTTACTAGTAGAATAGACAATTATATTTTTTAGCAACTTGTGGAAGACTTTTTGTGCTTCACAATAAGTATTTACGATTGTTCACTGAGTTCAAGTAACTCAGAGAATATCAATGATGCATGAAATTAAATGTAACTCAATAACCATTTAACAAGAAATGTACTTATGTTTTATTACTATGACAAATCATTTATTTAATTACTATGACAAATCATTTATTTAATTAGGCACCAAGTCTCCATAGTTAAAAATAAGTAATAAATACCTCATGGTAATATTCATGGCTATTAAAAACTAATTCTATTTTAACAGTTTTAATGTTTAGGGTGTGTTCCAAACATCTGGTTGATCTGTTGTTTACTGGAACTAAGATCTAAGTGAAATGCAATATACATTTTTATAGTATTTCAAATAGTGGTATTTAAATCATTTTATCTGCTAAAAAGAGACTAATTTACTGTTAGTTAAATTATCACCATGTTAAATTACATGTCAGCTAGGCCATGTCAAAGGTACACAACATTTTTTAAATTAACCTTGAACTACTAGACCCATAATAGCATACAATTGAAGAAAAAACAAAATCAAATGAAACAGAGACTTTATTTATTTATTTATTTATTTTATTTATTTATTTATATTAATTACAACGGTTACACCAATGACAGCAATTAATTAAGACTTACAGTTATTCAGTTTAAACTAACAGAATAAATGCCTGATTAAAGTTATATGTATGCCTAATAGTGTACTAACACACTGTACTTCCTCCAACAGACAGTCTTGGACATTGGCTGTGGCACAGGCATCCTGTCCATGTTCGCAGCAAAGGCTGGTGCAGCTAAAGTGATTGCGGTGGAGTGCTCCAACATTGTGGACTATGCCCGCAAGATCGTGGAGGCTAACAGGCTCAGTGACGTCATTGAGATCGTCAAAGGAAAGGTGAGAAAATTTACATGATTGTTTTTTTAGTTTTTGTATTCTAATCTCCAAATACTCAAACGCCACGCAATTATAAGTCGCGCTTAAGTGTGGAGGCCCAATTACTCCTCTCCCCAATCTCCCCAATCCCCAAATTCCGCAATAATTCTCAAATTCCTAATCCTCAAAAGGTCAGTAACGGTGACGATCAGGATCACCTGTAACGATCAGATGGTGATCCATCTGCTACAAATTCTTTGTAAAGTGACAGAGATGACATAATATTTAAGTACAACTTTAAATTGAGTAGCCTTTCAGTATTCGGGTGTAAATTGTTTATTCAGAGGTTTTGTGGTAATATTAGTTCCATTTCACAACTTGCTACATAGTATGTACATACATCACATGCTTCATGCTTTTATGCCTATGCCATTAGGCTTTTTCTTGTGACAAGATATTCACATACTTTTTTGCTAAGTCAGTTACGTTTGATGTGCCATTGTTTCAAAATGTATAGCCATACATTCAATGAAAACATCTGTATTCTATGGCTTAACATTTTTTCTCAAAGCAAGTAAATATTTTATAAGTTTGTTAATTATTATTTACTTTTACTGCTTCATAGGCCGAGTGGTCGCAAGTGCGACTGCACTGGGTTTTAAAAAAAAAATCAGTAGTGGCACAATGTCTGGAATTGTGCTTGGTGCTTGGTATATGGCAATAGGCTCACCCCCTATTACATTGACAGTAAGTGCTGTAGTGTGCACCTCTACCTACCCCTTTTTTCATATACTTATTTCCATGTACTAGGTTGAGGAGGTAGAGCTCCCAGTTGACAAGGTGGACATCATCATCTCAGAGTGGATGGGCTACTGCCTGTTCTATGAGAGTATGCTGGACACCGTGCTGTATGCTCGCGACAAGTGGCTCCGCGCTGACGGCATGCTCTTCCCTGACAGGTAAGATACTTTATTTTCTACTAGCTTTTACCCGCGGCTTCGCTCGCGTCACAAAAGAATAAAAAGTAGCCTATGTGACATATACCAATACACACAGCGCCATCTATACCAATACTGTTTTTCCTCGGGAATATCAATTTTTCCGGGTTACAAAGTACCCTATTATTTAATCTGGACTTAACTTTACGTCTGCAAAAATTTAAAGCAATCGGTTGAGTAGTTACGGCGTGAAGGTAGAACAAAAAACAAACAAACAAACTCACTTTCAGATTTATAATATTAGTAAGGATATGATATGATTAATATACTTTTTATATTATAATTTCTTTTTTCTTCCATAATAAATTATCTGTGTGTATTGTATGTGAAAAATATTATAGTAAAGTCAATTTAATTTTGATGTTTCGAATGTATTAAATATGGTTTATTTGTTATAAACCATGACTTTGATTGCTGAATATATTTGCTTCTTTGTGAGCTAAAACAATGTAGGTTTTATTGGCGCAGTCAAGATCCGATTAGTCATATCCATACATGGCCAATTTATTGTTACTTTGTAATGAACTTTAATAGAAATTGCGTCTTTGTATATTTAATAGTACATAAAAATACTTGCAAACTAAAGTGGACATGATAGAAATAATTTTTTTTTAATTTAAAAATATGCCAAATCAACCACAAATTTAGAAGTTTAAATTGGATGATGGGTAGAAATTCTGCGCTCAGCGTTGACAACAAAATTTTAATCTATAACTCTGTACCTATACCTATATGGACATATGGTATTCAGTTGTGGGGAGTAGCCAGCAAATCTAATACAACATGCATACAAAGGGTCCAAAACATTATCTTGAAAAACATTGCAAATGCTCCGTGGTTTACGAAAAATGACGAAATTCATGAGTACCTGAACATACCAACGGTAGCGTCAGAAATAGACCGCTATAAAAAACAACATCGTGAGCGTCTCGCCCACCACCCAAATCCACTGGTCATGGAATTACTTGACAATGCTAAAATTGTGAAAAGGTTAAAGCGACACCTTGTAATATAAGTGACAACAGGCGTTGGCATGTTGTACTCAAAAGCCACATCCCACTTCACCACATCTGATTATAGTCTGGCGACTGATTGCAGATCTACAAATTAAAAAAAAAAAAAAAAATAAAAAAAAAAAAAAAACGTTGCCCCACATTAGGCTTAGTAAAATTACTAAGCTTAAATAATAGTGAATTTAAACTTTAATGATATTCGACTTGTTTATAGGACTAGGTAGACAGTAATTGTGAGACTTACTGTTACGTTTTCCAGCTACAGACTTCTATGCTTTAATTCATATTTTAGTTTAGCTCATATTTTATATACTACTAGCTTTTACCCGCGGCCTCGCTCGCGTCACAAAAGAATAAAAAGTAGCCTATGTAACATATACCAATACACACAGCGCCATCTATACCAATACTTTTGTTTTTCCTCGGGAATATCAATTTTTTCCGGGTTAATAAGTACCCTATTATTTAATCCGGACTTCTAACTTTACGTCTGCAAAAATTCAAAGCAATCGGTTGAGTAGTTACGGTGTGAAAGTGGAACAAACAAACAAACTCACTTTCAGATTTATAATATTAGTAAGGATTGAAGTGAACCTAACATATTTTTAACCATCTTCTTATACATATTCTATCTTTTTGAATATCCCCTCAACAACACGCAATTTTGCCAACAGATGCACATTGTTCATCTGTGGTATCGAGGACCGTCAATACAAGGATGAGAAGATCAACTGGTGGGATGATGTCTATGGTTTTGACATGTCCTCAATCAGGAAAGTGGCCATCTCCGAGCCATTGGTGGATGTTGTTGATGCTAAGCAGGTGAGATGAAGGATTTAATTGCTGACTTCATGTAAAAAATATTGATCTTACATCTTTTAGGTTTTAAAATACAGTCTTATTAATTTCATCTGTTTGCATTTCAGGTCGTGACTAACTCCTGTTTATTGAAAGAAATAGACCTGTACACAGTTAAAAAGGAAGATCTTAACTTCGAATCCAAGTTCCACCTTCAGGTAAGCATTTTCTGTGTGATGTCTACTTATTTACTGAAGAGTGCAAAATTTAGGCTGATCATCTCCATTAATATTTTGTTAGCTCTGGTATAGAAACTACTCACATAAATAACTTTGTTAAACTGTCAAACACCAAGTGGTCACCGGTGACCACAACCTATTGTTCTTTAATTGTATATAATGACGGTACTCAAAGAGTTAATATTATTCTTGTATATCCAGGTGCGCCGCAACGACTTCATCCAGGCGCTAGTGACATTCTTCAATGTGGAGTTCACGAAGTCTCACAAGCGGCTCGGGTTCAGCACGGCGCCCGAGGCTCCCTACACGCATTGGAAGCAGACCGTCTTCTACTTCGACGACTATATGACTGTAAGTATAAACACTATTTTTTCTACTTTTGTTCATTGTTTTGAATGATTTCGTTCTAGGATGAGAAAGTTCTAGAAAAGAAAATATCTATCCAAACGATTTCTCTTTAATCCATTGGTATTACATACGGTCACGCAAGGATGTTTTGTTTAAATATTCATTTCTATCTTCTAATTTTTCTTAAATCATAAAATATTTCAAATGTTTGCTTTGTAAACTTACCAAAAACTTTTATTACAGGTAAAGAAATTCGAGGAGATCACAGGAACGTTTTCGATGCGCCAAAACGCGAGGAACAACCGTGATCTTGATTTTGAGATAGAAATCGACTTCAAAGGCGAACTGTGCCAGGTTCGAGAGAAGAATCACTATAGGATGCGCTGATCTAGCAGTAGACCGTGGCGCTACTTGAAAACCAGCCTTCATACTTACCACTTCACTCCATGAATATGACTCCTTTACCACAAAGCTACATTATAATACTGGTCCCCTGAATCATATATTATACCTTGAGTATATCTCTATGTTTGTGGGTATATATAGTATATCTCCTATGTGTTGTATTTTGCCAGTGTTGGCATACATGTAACCGAAGAAAATTTCAAACTAAAATATACCATATGTAGCAGGTCACAAAGATTAATTTTCTGTCAAATTAAAGTGATGTTAACTTCGATTTTCTGTTCTTTTTGAATTACAATGAAAATTAATGAACAATTCATGAAAATTAACGAAAAATCGAATCAACTTTCTTGCCATTAGCAAAGAGGTGTGACTTAGATATTTGGCGATGCTTACACCTGTATTTCGTAGTGGTAAGGGCTATTGTCGCCTGTCAAACGTAATTTGTAAACACTTTCACGTGGTTTATTATTGTCGTATAAAACTTTGTTTTTGTATTAGCCTGGGGCTATATGTGACTATTATCATTTTTAGGAGAATGTGCTAACTCTTTCACACTGTAGCAATGGTCCTCTGCGTATCATAATGTGACTTCCCTTTTCATATAAATGGCCTAACTCTAGTCTTTCTTTGCATGTTTTACAATTGAGTGTTTTTAAACTATTGACCTGGTGTCGTAAACATATTGACTTTTTCTTTTCCAACAGCAGAGCTGTTAACGGGTCAATGATAATTTTAGTTAGGCTGTTCCTATGAAGGACTTTACTGTCATTTTGAAACTGTGGTAATCATTGTTCCTTTTTGTTTCCATCTACATTTTGTATGGTTCATGTTGTGAACCTTATGTTTAAGATATTGTCGCTTTGTATATAAGGGCAAATGTATAAATGTCCGAAGGCTGGTAACTATAGTAAACGAATTTTGTAATAACATGAATATTAAGAAAAATGGTCGCTGATTAAATTTTAATTAATTAAAAACTAGGTTGTACCAACTCACTTTATTCAGTGTATACTTTATTTCTGTGTGATACGATAATTTTTGTTTTTGATATGTTTCATTGATGTATGCTTGAGTGACTACAGATCTAAATACAATGTGCAGTCTAGCTAGAATGTTTATTTCTATATTACGCTTCATCCAAGGAGGTGTAGAGATTAGGTTAACATTACAATAGTGATCGTGTTAGTGTAAGCGAATCGAATACGAAATAATCGACTAAATATTTGATAAATAGGCGATTGTACCTTTCAGTATTTTTGTTTGTTTAATTATCGGCTTTGAATAGAGTGAGTTGGGGACGTTTGACGATGTTTAAGAGCTAAGTAAGGTATCTCACTTTTGTATGACCGCCTAATGGGTCCCGACAACGGGAATTAAATATAGAATTATAGACATTCATTACACTGTAATACTTGTATTGAGAATTGACGTGTTAATGGCAGTTTTGAACGTTGAACATAATGGCTAAAATAACCTATCCACGAGAACCCAGTAATTAGATGTAGGTGTAAATTTTAATACGTGTTTTGTATCCAGATTTTATATTGTAACATAGTAACACTGGGCTAGATGAATTTTGCACTGGCAATGTTTAATTTGAACTGATTGAAATTGTGCGAAGTTTGTACTTCATTGCCTATACTGTGTTGCGAACAAATGGTGGACGATATTGGCTACTTAAAAAACCGCAAAATAAGTATAGTTATGGATGTGATCTGGCATATCATTGCTGGCAAATATAATTTAGAGAGGCTCTCTATTCTAAGCATATTGTGGAATTTTTCTATCTTTGATTATAGTATCACATCTTTCAATACGCGATGGGGTAGGCAGAGGTGCACATATGAATGCGGCACCTACTTTTCACTACTTATGTTGTTAAGTATTCATTTGCAATGTATTAACCCTTTGAGTACCATCATTATAGACACAATTAAAGAACAATAGGTTGCGGTCACCGGTGTCCTCGCGGTGTTTGACAGCTTAAATGATGCGATGAGACCAGTCTACAGAATAAATTGCTCAAATTTGCCCCAAATAAGTCCAAAACTGCCATTAACAAAAGATTTTAGTTGTACGCAGCACTCCATGTAATATCTAATACTATAAGGTTGATTCAGCCTGTCAAGCCAATGTGCCACTCGGTGGCGTTATCTTATTTCTACGGTTTAGCGACTGTGTGTATGGTGTACGTATATTTGTGGTGCATTCATGAATAAGTACCTATAAGGAAGGTGTTGTTTTATTTCTTTTGTCCCTTTAGCAGTAATTTGTGGGCTTTTCACTGAGAACTTTGGCAATATCTCTCAAACCATCTCAGTGAATATATTTTATCCATAATTATAAACTATTTCTAGCCGTAACAAACGAAATAGTCGTGGTATTTAGCGCGATTTTCCTTAATAAGTGATTTGGTAAATAAGTAAAAACATTTTTTTAAATGAATATAATTTTAATGTTCAATTGACTATGACTGTATTTTTATTGTGATATAAAGCTACGTACTTAAACTATATAAATCCCGTTGCATCAAACTAAATTTCTTGTAATGGCACATGAGACTGAATTGAAATTATTTTTAAGTCTTGGGAAGTTTATTTTGTTCAGCTATAATGACACGAATGCTTGTTTTAAAGTGAACTCGCTTATCTTCAGTAAAATCTTTAGAAGTGAAAACAGTTACATTAACCAAATATTTCTCATAATTAAATAAAATCACGTAAATCTGATATTAGCTGCCTACCTAATCTTTAAGCGATCTTTCTCAAGTACTAACTTGGCGTTGGCTCAGGCATCTTGCATTAACTGTTTCATGACTTACCTACTGACACATGCAATAAAAGTACCTGCATTTTTACCATCAGTTTGATGCAATCGGGAATGAAACGGTTATACAAATTAAGATCTTATCTCTACATTTCTAAGGTTGATTACACGGCGACAGCAGGTACAATGGGTGCGCCTTGAGGGTTGTTCTTGTAGAGGTCCACGCAGCAGCAGTTTGAGATCAGGTCGTGTTCCTCGCAGGAGTTCGCGTACAGGAACTTGCAGTCAGTCTTGCCACAGTAAGGGTTGACTGGAAAATGAAATGTCAATTGCAAATTATTACAGATAGGTTACCGCTTTGAAGCGAGTTATCGAAACTTGGGGTACAATAGTTTTAACATTTTGTTAGTCGCACTGTAGTTGTTTAAAATAGTAGTTAAAGGGAAGTAGTATGTATGTTTTAAACCAAAGAACAAATTAAGAACTGTTGCTTTGCTCATATTGTTTGAATAGTCAAATGGATTTTATAGTTGCGCCTATGTAATTAACGTTAGCAAATGTTAACTAAAAATCACGGGTTCAAAAGCTCCACTAGTTTCGAGCCACAGAGGGGAGCCACACTCTTCCTCATTTTCACGCGAGTACCCCGCGATTTTTAATTTAGTACATATGTCTCACGATAGGTGTATTTTATAAAAACGTTAGCAAATGTACTAAGTACTCGAAAAAGTACCTAAAGTATACTAACTATAATGCATAACTAACTTTGCATTAACATAAAGATAAATGTAAGTAATAAATAAGTAGCATCAACTTACACACAGAACCGCAGCAGCAAGCATCGTGAGCCTGCTTCTGGTAGCAGTAGCTGTACACTGAAGAGTCACACAGGGGGCATCCGGGGTGCGCCCCAGGTGGGCCCGGTGGGCCATGATGACCCTGTCCATAATGCCCTTGTCCATAGTGTCCCTGTCCCGGATAATACCCAGGTCCAGTCGGATATGGGTAGTTTCCATAGTTGCCTCCTAACAAAAAGTCCAGTACTTCTCTTATTCCGAAACCTGTTGGTGAATGTTAGATGATGATGATTGTTAGATTGTATACCGATGCGATGGGCCCGTGAATTGTATGGTGAAGTACTTAGATCAGTGGGTGAACCAATTTATTAGTACCTACATAGGTGCTTGTTGAGAATGTTGACTTTATATTAAAATATAATGGCGTACCAGTAATTATTACGCAAAGTTATATACCTAGGTAAGTAATTACTTGTGGTTGTGGTTTGAAGTCTTAGCGTCTATAATCGTAATTGTGTTACATGACTTTATGTGGGTATGCAGGTGCCTACGCTTATAAACTTTGCGGAGGGGGATAAAGAATATATTGTTTGGCGTGTTTGTAGTTTTTAATTGTCAGGTACTTATTACTAGTCTGGCGTGTCATGTACTATGCGATCTAAGCCCTAAGTACCTACTAAACTTAATAAATAAACCTTGTAAACGGATGTTGTAAACACATAAAATGAGAAAACTATTATTTAATGTGCCGTCTAAAAATAACCTCTATGTGTGTGTGAATGCTTGTGTTTATTTTTTGTAGGCAAATAAATGATAAAATTATGTTATTGAAGATCGTTTGAACGCCGTTCATTCACATGATTCACATACGGACAATAACAATAAATAAGTAGACCTTGATTTTACATGCATTTTGAGTACAAATCGCCCTTAACTATATGGGAAGCGAATCACAATTATGATTCTTTAATAATATTATTATTTCTCAGTAATGTGAAACAGATATGCATCTTGATAAAGTAATTAATTCGCATCTGAGTAATTGTAGAACAATCAGGTTTAACAGACAAAAATTAAGAGTACTGGTGACCTTGCGATGTTTCCTTATTTTTGGTAATTAGTTTAGGTACATAATTAACGCTTCTTTGCCGTGACGCGATTCATCGTGGAGATGACACGTATACTTTTTTTAGACCACAAAAACATAGGTTTGTTATTGTTTAATTAATTGTCATTTTTGTGGTTGTCTACGTCGATAGGTGATGTGGTAATGAGGTATAATGAGATGTCGATGTTTCGTCAAGTTTGTAATAAACAATGTGAAGATTGAACTGATTGATTATGATTCTGCTAATTCGCTGTTTTGATACTATATAGAAGGGTTCTCATTATTGTCTCTGAGTACTACAATGGTTAGGTTGGCTAGGATTAGTTACCTATTGGTTACCTTTTTTCTTTTTTTTAAGGGGGGAAAATCATCGAATGTCTTCTCCCGGCCCAGCCCGGTTGAGGGAGTGTCATACTTTTATTGGCTAAAAACCACCCCGTTCCTACTCCTGCACTTTGAGCCGGAGCTCCGGCAACCCGGTAAGTCCTCCGAGGCATTGGTTACCTCTACCAAGTTCCTTAGCTTTAAAATTAGTCTGGTATTATGATTTTATCCAAAACATTTAGTCAGAACTATTTAACTGCTGTACTAACATATGTAATTTATCGTAAGAACATATAATTACTTCAGCACAATGTTTGGACAAGTTCCTATGTAGTTTTTTTGCTAAAACGTAAACAGTAAAGTACCTACTGAATTAAATTTAGCGGAACAAATAGCTTTTAATATCTCTTAGCAGATACATATGCTAAAATTATGGAAATTGCCCTAAAACAGATGCTACTAGACTAGACACGATAGCCACTACTTATGCCTGTGGTACCTACTTCTCGCTTTAAGGTGCATGTGTAGATAATATTTCTTATGCCCATTGGAAACCTCAGGTCTAAAATCTGGAGTTTCGTTTTTATAATAACTACCGTGAGACATACTAAATTAACTAAAAATCGTGGGTTAGTCACGTTAATATACTGATAAAAGCTCTACTAGTTTCGAACCACAGAGGTGTTCTTTCTCATGCGCGGTCGCGGCGATGTCGCGCAGCCTATTTAGCCTAGTTTCTGGAGTTTCGTGCAGAATTTTTTGTACTTATGTAGACTTTATAAGAATTTATCGATCAAAGTAGATTCGGATACTTACTTGACTATTGGCACAGGAGTTAATACGAGACTCGTATTGTTTAACTTGGGTTATGCTTGTACTTAGGTACCTAACTGTATTTTTCTTACTTATAAGTTTTATAATAAGCATACCGTATGTAGGTATTTAAAGTAAGTATGTTGGTAAATGGTATTATGTAGATTAATAAATATTTTCCATGGTATTCTATGTTACCACTTAAAAATTATATGAATACATGCAGTTTAGATGAACCTTTAGATACGTATGTTATGATAAATTCATCAATTTGTAATGACATGCGCCTGTTTCATGACATTTGGTAATAATGTATGTGTCCCATGCTAATGTATGAATGCACCAATGTATGTCAGTTTGTTGATGTGACGACAATCATGGGTAACTTACCGCCCAGTTGGTTTCGACTTATTTCGTAGTTCGTGGGCTGAACACCTGATTGAGATTCAAGTCTTTAACATGTTTCTAATAACTTTAATGATGCTACCAATGAAGAATTTAATAATTAATTCATTATGATAAATACTATCCTTAAATATTATCTAATTTTGAGAACCCCTGTTGCCTGAACGGTCGTTAAACAAAATTGGCACCAAAATTAAAAGCTAGATAGATATCAAAACTTTTATAACACCGTAAGTAATTTAAATTAATTTATATTTAGAAATGTGATGTTTCTTGCAAGAAGTCCTTTATCTCGTAAAGCTTATCTCAAAATAAATATTTGGTCGCAGACGTTTTTATTTTCGTAATAAATTATCTGGTTTTAAGTTATTTTTACGACACTTTTGGTTTTGAAGTAACTGTTATAAATAAAAACTTAATGTAACTTCTAATGGTTGTTAAGAAAATATAGGTAGGTAATGCAGAATTGACCTACTTCAATTTGTTAAAAGTTATTTAATAAAAATGATTCATTAGAGAGAATTAATTTTCCACCACTAATCATTGTTAGGCAATAACTTATATGATTTATAACGACACTAAACTAAATTTTAAAAAATCAGATTAAACTTTTTAACATTAATAAAAGAACGAACATCACAAAAATGTAATTAAAACAATGTAAAATATTAAACAATTAAATACTCACCATCGCTCATAGCCAGTGTTGCCGCAAAAATTATAAAGAAAACCTTTTTATACATTTTCGAAACAAACTTTTGAACCACAGATATTGGAAATTAAAAAAATAAAATTTAGAATGCAAGTTTGTGTTAGTGCGTGTGTTTAGCACGGTCGCTGTTCAAGAGCGTCGTGTAAATAATAAAATAAACCACTTCGGCTTAGGAAGCTGGATTTACCGGTGCAGTCGAGCGCAAAAGTGGTGAGTCAAGATTTAGATAAAAATATTTATGGTCAATGGTCATCTAGAGACGTTGGATGAACTTAGTTCCTTATTTGGCACAAACTAAATTTGCTTTGCGTAATTAAGTAGACCTACTGACTACTGTAAGCTTGTTTTTGTAAAATGTTAAATCTAGGGAACTTGTCGTTTATTTTATTATATTATTATAATTATAATTTTAACCAAAATTTTTTTTCGACGTTTCAAATGCGGCATTAGTTCTTGGATCCATACTTTTATGTAGCTTCCTTGGCAGACATCTAGGCAGAAGGCAATATTGTAGCGTTAATAGGAACTTTTTTGTTGATATTTTTATGTCAATAGTTTAAGTTACCGGGGGCCGACCCCTTCCTAAAAGATAGGCAAAACCCTTGTAACTACCTCTTCTGGTTAGGGGAAATGCCAAGATGATGAGCTTATTGGAACACCACTATTATCCATAAAGATTAATCATATAAATATTTTAAAATACTTTCTATAATAACTATCGTGAGACATACTAAATTAAGTAAAAACGCTGGTTACTCACGTGAATATGCTGAGAAAATCTCTTCTCAGTATAGGAGTAACCCGCGTTTTTACTTATTTTAAAATACTTTCGTTCACAGTTGTACTTAAGAGTGCATATCATTCCTTGCAAGGGATTTTGCAGTTGTCCTTAACATCTGAACGTTCTCTACCGATTATCTAATTACCTGCGAGGGGTATGACCAGGACTAGTCGCTAAGCGTAATATTATGACATTTAATGACAGGAAACTGCCTATAATTCAGGGACCTTTTATGCCCTTTTAATAATGTATTTTAAATAGCAGTTTATGCCTTTATAGTTATTACAGTTTATTTGCTTTATAGTTAGATTAAGAACTTTTTAGAGATACCTAATTAAAGATTTGTATTTATCATCTTGAGGTAGAGAGTTTATTTGTTTTTACTCTATGAAAGTTAATGGATAACTTTATGTTTACTACAAGTCGAGATTATTTCCACTTCCACTAAAGGGTGCTATTGAGCATACAGTTTACATTGTATGTAAGTAGCACCGAAATTTCATCAATTATTTTTTACGGTTCCAAGTAAAAAGAAGGCGACTCTATGGTGTACTTTGTTTACATTGTTTCTAAAGAAATGTCCACATGAAACTAATCTTATAAATGTGAACGTTCCTTTGTTTGTATATTTGGATTTTTGTCCGACAATCACGCCGAAACTGCTGAGGGGATTTTGAAGAAATGTGGTGGTGTGGCAGGGGTGGGCTGACTTAGATGATAGAATTTTTTATCCCGATTAAATGCTTCTATGGGATAAAACAGGAATCATATTTTACGCCGACGAAGTCGCGGGCAATAGCTAGTAAGTTATAAAATATCCTTCTAAAGATACTTTCAAGAGAATATAACCCGAGTGTACAGCCTTATGATTAATAAACATATTTTTCAACGTCTACAAAGTACGAGGAATTTTCTCCAAGCTAAGATTATGTGGTAAATTATCGGCAATTGCCTATGTTCTATATAAAGCGCGTCTCCGAGATAATCTTGTAGTAAACAGCCGGACTTGACATCTGCAATTCCGATATCGACAGGTTTTATAACGATTAAGGCTTTTATTAGGATTCCGTAGCGAAATAAAAAAAATCCTAGAATTTAGATAATTAAAAAAATGTATCAATTGTAGACATATCTAGAACGTTTAACTACAGATTATGTCGATGTCATAATAATGATTTTTTTCACCAGGCACTGTTGTGGTTTCTTTTTATTCTTTGGTGCCAGTCTCTTATTTTACCACTTTTTTGTCTGACCAGCACCTGGATATTGAACAGTTACCTTTATTAAATTATTATGTTTTCGGCTTACTCACGTAATTATTTGACGAGAAACTCGACTAGTTTCAAGTCATACTAGAGGCTCATATTCATGAGCAGCATTTTGCGACCCGCGATACGGCGACTGTCGCGCTGCTACTGGAACTACTGCCGAAAACATAATTATTTATTTAGTACGTCTCACGAAAGTTATAGTTACCTTTATTAGTATTGCTAGGCTACACATTCTTAGACAATATTCTGCGTCATTAGTACCTACATTTAAATTTAAAAAAAACTGTCGTTTTCAGACAATCTCACACTCATGCTCCAATACTCTTAGACCACAAACATTTATAAGTATTCCAAGCTAAAATTAAACCACAAAACATCATGCAATAACAAATCCCTTTGCAACTGCATTTTCCAAAGTTTACATACAAAATATTGAATATAAAGAACCCGTATTGTCAGAAGAAATACGTCCTTAACCTATTAATGGCGGTCTCTATGCCGAGCGGGTAGAGGTGCATGACCCGCGTCTGAACCTCGGGTACCGTTCGCAAACCAGTCTGGTACAAGTAGACGTTTACATTTTATTACATTGTTGATCATTTTGCTGTCAGATGTTTATGACGTCAGTACTTTGTTGGTTCTAGGTTCATGATTATAGAAGAGTACATTTCTCACCTTCTATTCTTCTTGGCGGTGACGGAAGACTAAGAGAATAAATATTTTAACAGAGTCCGGACAGTAGCGATCTCTTGTAGTAGTGATCTTCAACCTGACTGCCAAGCTTGGAGATTATGGCAATCTTCTCTTGTATAGAAGAATCTCTCTTAGCAGAAGCCTATCAGGGGCTCTTGATGATGATCTTCTTTCAGGAAGCTGTGAATTTTTGTTATAAGTAGGGCTAAGATCAGATTATAAAGGGGTACATATGTACCATTTTAGTTTCTTTCATTAGTAGGCTATACTGTTTTGTCTGTCGCGGAGAACCTAACGGGTAACCGGGGCTCCGGCTCGTGTGCAGGAGAAGGAACGGGGTGGTTTTTAGTCAGTAAGAGTCTGACACTCCCTTCCGCCTTACCCAGGCGGGAACAGTCATTCGATGATTTTCCCCCATTAAAAAAAAACTGTTTTGTCTAGGTGTAGGTGTATATACTTATGGTGAAACTGTAGGTTTTGCTGCCAGACTTGTAACTGGGTATCAAATCAACGAACCAAACTCTACATTAACATTTTTTCACTTCACTACACGCTTAGCGGTTCATTCAATTAATTAGCAACTCATTTAGAAAAAATTGAAAGCATCTACATAGGTACATTCACTTATCAAAAACCGTTCTTAAGCTAATCAGTAATGAACTACTTAATTAGACTTTATTTATTTGATTGTAAGAGTTATTTTGCCCTACATCAGTCATTCATCATGTCTAAAAATTTAGGCCGCGTACCGTTGCTAACGGTATGCGTATAAACACTACATTTAACTATTAATACCTTAATTGGTATGGGTCAAATGTTCATGTACGGATGCCAAGCAGATCGAGATATTCTTATCTGTTTAATTTTTTAACAGATTTTCAACCTTATTTCAAGGAGATATGCTATAAAGGAGGTTGAATTATTTTGACAGGAAGGGTAGCTTGTTGTGCAGGTGATTAAAGTGTGCTAGTCTTATTTAGAGTTGAGGAAAATGATATGTAATAAGTAGTTTGATTTATTTTAGTAGTAATTTAACTTACTTTGCAGAACGTTGATACCTTCTCTTTTTTAAAAGGCATTTGGTCAGGAACGGCGCTAATCACTTAACATCAATCGAACCACTCCCCAATCTACTTACTCTGACACTGAAACTTATCGAAATGTTGTGCTCAATCCGGAAATCAAAGACGGGTAGCTCAGAAGGCTTTGTTCTAATAAAGTGAATGAAAAAGGCGACACAAGTGTGGGAGAGCCATGATTTGGCACGAATGGGCCGGCTCGACCGGAGTGATACCACGGCCTCACAAAAAAGACGTGAAGCAACGCAACGAGGTTACCGGAGGCTCAATTAACCTCCCCTTCTCCAATCTCCCCAATCCCTGAATCCCCAACGATTCTCAAACTCCTAATCCCCCTGGTGTTCCAGATGTCCATGGGCGACGTCGATTGCTTACCAACAGGTGATCCGTCTGCTCGTTTACCGGCTTATGTCATAAAAAAAAAACACTTAAAGTTAAGATTATTTATTTTCTACAATTATTTAAAGCTTAAAAAACTTAATAACTATTGTTATGTCATGTATACGTCACTCATAGAGAGATTATAATATACAAACATTTACACCTAACTTTACATGTAGAGAGAAAAATATTGACGTTACCTGACCAAATACAGTCAACATTAAGAAGAAAAGTGGTATAATTGCTGACAATGCAAAATTGCCATAGATTTTTAACCTTTGGCGTGCCAAGGTTGCCCAAAAAGGGATGAACAGTACAAAAAGTATGGCAAAAAACGTAGGAAGTTTATACCCACCCAGCGTTAATTAGGCTAACCTGCAGCTGTAGCCAAATGCCACTTAGCGCTTGTCTACATGTAGAATAGAAAACCAAATTATATGGAATTGACGTAAATTTTTACACTTGTCAGTGTCATTCCCATACATTTAGTTTTCTACTCTCTATAGACAAGCGCTAAAGTGGCGTTTGGCTAAAGGCCCTGAGCTGAAATGATGATGATGCGTGTGAATGAAGATGAAGGAACTCCATGTACTCCAAACATTTTTGAATTCCTTTTGGTAACTCCCTATTCTCAGCATTATCTCATTAGAAACAACACTACCTATTTGTGTTTAACAAATAGTTGTTTCATGCTAACCTAGACTTTAATATAAGTATTATAGTAACTGCTGCTCTTTCTCTTAGAGAAAGACCAAGTTTCTAGATAATTTGACCTTCAAGCCATGGTGACAAAACCGCGAGCAGCTCTTTTTTGAACAAAATATCTGATTATGTCTCTAAAATAAACTCTATTCAAGCTTAATATAGGGTTCAAGTTGCATTGCTCTCATGATATCTCCGGTAACGGAGCAGCGTCCAGCTTGTACGATGACTCTGGCATCTTCTCTGCCGGTGACGAGCTGCTTGAAGTAGTGCTCGGTGAGGGTGAACGTGGAGTCAGGGTCCTCGTCGGGTTCGCCTTCGTACACTTTCACTTGGTTGAGGTCTAAAGCTGTGAACGTAAGAAAGAACATAAGTAGACAGGAACGTGATATAAGAGGTAATGGAATAATAATATTTTTGTGCTATGTAATAAGGGGCTCATTAATTTGACATGAAGAGTATGCAAAATGCTTTACGAATGGCTCGACCGGAGTCATACCACGGCCTCACAGAAAACCGACGTGAAGCAACGCTTGCGTTGTGTTTCGTCGTGTGAGTGAGGTTACCGGAGGCCCAATTACCCTCCCCTTCTCCGATCTCCCCAATTCCTGAATCCCCAAGGATCCTCAAACTACTAATCCCCAAAAGGCCAGTAACGCACTTCTCGTGTTTCAGGTGTCCATAGGCGACGCCGATTGCTTACCATCAGGTGATCCGTCTGAACGTTTACCGGTTTATGCCTTAAAAAAAATGCAGCATGATTTATCTTTGGTAATGTGACAACGAACGAGTGAGATGGAAGTAGTAGAGACCATATTTGTCACCATTACTATTCTTCCCGCAAGTTTCGTGAGATGTGTCTAACTAAGGGAATAACATCAGTATTGTAATATTGACAGAGATGGGCAGCATCGCTTCTCTGATCAACCTGAACATCTTGAACTACCTTTTCCAGCTAGTTTTACGAGTGTGTACATTATGACAAAGACAAATCTGATCTTCAGTTCATATCATTTTTAAAAAAAAGTTTGTCCCACTCTCGGATTTACTCCTGTGTCGTGGATGCCTTTACAAGCATACAATTTCATATACACATGACAACCAGACCCAGGGCAACAATTTGTGGATCACACCAAGAGTTACTCCGTGCGAGAATCAAATCCGCGACACGTTGCGCGTCAGCCGATTGCCTAGCCACCACACTAACCGTGCCTTCTTCAGGAGGCTCATAGTTTTAGCAGTGACACAGCAGTGAACTATAATGGGCAATTACCTCTCCCCCCTTTCCTAATCCCTGAATCCCTAACAATCCTGGAATTCCTAATCCCAAGAGGCCGGTAACGCCTCTGGTGCTCCAGGTGTCCATGGGCGACGCCGATTGCTTACCATCAGGTGATCCGCCTGTTCGTTTACCGGCTTATCCCATAAAAAATTGATTAGTGTATTAATGATGACCCTTTCGTAAGGTATCGAGTAGGTAAGTCTGTAGGTACTTACCTACCCGATACTTGTCTGTCTGTCTTCAAAACTTACTCCAAGAATAAACGCTGGTTCCCTTGATGATGTTGAAGAGGAACACTCCGCCCAGTGCCCTCGCCTTGTTGGGGTCCACTGCTGCCAGCCGCGCCTTGATCTTCTTCACCAGGTCGGCTTTCTCAGGCTTTGGAGCGTGCTCGCTGTGTGAGGCACCCTGGAATATATAGTGAAATTGTTGTTTTTGAATCAGGTAATGAAACCTTTTGAGATGACTTTAGCAAAAAAGTGTACGACTAACTAGTGTATAACTTATGGTCGGTCAACGAGTCTCCACCATGCACCATGCTGAACAAAATACCTATGTAATAAATGTGAACCCCACCACAAATGTGTTTTTGAAATCGTACAATATTCTTTTTTGTCGTTATAAATATATCAGTTTAACATGTGTAAAAATAAGGTACTTATTACTTATAGGTACTATTATTAACATTAACTCGTTATCATAATATTAAATCAATGCAGATTATATCTGTCTGACATGTCAGTCGCGGAGAACGGTAACATCTTAAATGAGTATAGACACCATCTACATACAAACGATGCACTCAAGCGCTCAAGATATGATTGACATTGATCACCAGCCTGTATTTTAAAATCACTACAATTAGAAGCCATCTTTTAATATAGTTAATATAGTTTTTGTTACAAAAACAGAAGAACGTATAATCACATTACATACAGATACAGCACTTGAAAATAAAAAAAGAATACCTCATTTGAAATTTTGCGTTCTTTTTTTTAAACACCCATAGACAATAGCTTATAATATTTTTTCCGCAGTTATTAAATGAGGTTGTATAACTTACCATAATGTCGTGTGTTGGTCGTGTGTCAAGTATCGTTGTCAGGTAAGCAGTGACTCGCTCAGATGCGTCGAGCTTTCACTCTCGGATTGCAAAACAGTTTGTGTACGCTCCAATTTTGTGGCCATACTTTCTGTTGGGTGTAGGACAAACCTGTTTTCGAGATATGCACTTCATGATCGTTTTTAACAAAACTGCATAATAAAATAAGGTAACATATGTTTTACTGACCCTAATGTTTTACGGTCAAATTACTAGATGGTACAGAATCTTTAAAAAGTAAAAAGTTGATTCGGTTTTTTGGATGTCTAAGCGCTTTAATCATTGCATAAGTATAATCGTACCATTTCGTAGGGATTGGTGGAATCATCAACAGCCTGTTTTCGTCCACTGCTGGACATAAGCCTCTCCAATGGCACGCCACTGAGCTCGATCTTCAGCTCTACGCATCCATTGGTGGAATGTGATAGATAAATAATGAAGCTTAACAAAAATTGAACATCAATGGAATAGTGTAGGGTTGCAAAATACGCCACCTTGGTTTGGCAATGCAGGAGTCACCAACATTCGTCTAGATCAGTGGTTCCCAAAGTTTTGTGGACTACGACCTATCTAAATCAAGTTAGATACAAAACTCAGGACCCACTTTTAGGAAATTAAACCATTACCACATGAAAAGTAAAATACAGAACTGTTGGTTAGTGTGTAATTTAAGAGACTAGGCCCACTAAAAATTCGCTTGCGACCCACCAATAGTTTGGGAAGCCCTGGTCTTGGTAGCCTAGTCACCCTACAATTCGTATTGAGGAGATAACGCATATATCTACAGTATAGTACAGTATCTTACAGTCAGTTATGTTTGCCGGCAAACAATCATTTCACTTTTTATTTTACGAATTCTTTGTATCATTGTATAATTGAAACAGTAGTTACCTAAGAATAGTTTAAATTAATTCGGCTATTATATTGTTATTGTTGTGCGCCGGCTAGTACAGAAAGATTTTGGAAGATAGAGATAGCGATATATTTAATTTAATTATTCATAAAAAGTTTTATGGTGTGTATTATGGTTTAAGATAGATGTTACACTGTGTTTTACAAAGTTTTAAATAAAAAAAAATCATTTGAAATTGACATGCGTGGAGTGTGACCGTAAGCATTTTTAGCTACGTGTGTAAACACTTTTCATTTATCTTTTACTTTGCTAATATCTGCCTAATTACCCTCCCCTTCCCCAATCTCCCCAATTCCTGAATCTTCAACGATCCTCAAACTCCTAATCCCCAAAAGGTCGGGTACGCACTTGTAACGGCTCTGGTGTTCCAGGTGTTCATGGGCGACGCCGATTGCTTACAATTAGGTGATCTGTCTGCTCGTTTACCGGCTTATGCCATAAAAAAAACTGCTTTGCCTTTGTATCTTGTGTTTTCGAATCCTGACTACACAGTATGGTGTATGATTCCTGATTCTATGATGATGATCCACAGTATTATTTATTTTAGTGCCAATTTGCAGATGACTGTATAAGAAGACGAATCTCTGATCAATAACAAAACTAATGTCTCATTTTGTGGCAACTGCTCTTAAATAACTCCTAATTAGGGCAAGAGGAATATGTGCACCCGTAGGTACTTTTAATTTTTTCAAAAACTTATAGAAATCTATTACGTCACGTTAAGTTTGAGATAACTGCAATAAGAGAGAAAGCGGGTCATAATGACTAATGTTTACCTATTGACACGAAGCGACACCTAATGACCTGCCATTGTCTAAAACACACTTATTTTGCACTTTGCATAGTATTAAAGTAGCTCTTATGGTCATAACAATAAAGGTGAACAATATGATGGTAGCAACATTTGCCGTTTACGCACGAATATTTCACATCAAGTATCATTACGTCTTGCAGATTCGCAAATCTGCAATCGTAAGTGTTATGCAGTAGAAATTCTATAAACAAGATTCACTTCGAACCTCTCGAAGATGTAGAATCACATTGTAAAGATTAGGTTTGGTTGAAGTATTTAAGTATTATTTAGTTTTCTAGTATCTCCACAATTTTAGTCTTTTTTTAGGGCATAAGCCGGTAAACGAGCTGACGGATCACCTGATGGTAAGCAATGGGCGTCGCCTATGGACACCTGGAACACCAGAGGCGTTACCGGCCTTTTGAGGATCGTTGGGGATTCAGGGATTGGGGAGATTGGGGAAGATTAGGGGGTGGGGTAATTGGACCTCCGGTAACCTCACTCACACGCCGAAGCACAACGCAAGCGTTGCTTCACGTCGGTTTTCTGTGAGGCCGCCTCCAGTTGAGCCAGCCCATTCGTGCCGAAGCACAGCTCTCCCACACTTCGTCCCATCCGTTCGTCACGTAGTCTCCGGGCAAGAAATATTAATTCTAACTACATAATATAATATCGGTGGTTGGTAGTAGGTAGATTAAAGTGTTATTGAATGTTTTCTTGAGAATTCTTATTACGGGATAAATAAGACATAATTTGCAATGGTTAATTAAAAGTTATTTGTACTTTTTGTTGCATACAGGCTACGGGTACCTATCACACAGTATCCGGTAACTGAACTACTGCACCAACCATACACACACATACACATAGTCATAAAGAAACCTTTTAAATAACGCAATCATTCCGTTTTCCTCCATAAGGTATTAAATCACGAGAATCCCCAATAAATATGTGTGGAATATTTGCAAGCTCGAATAAGCAGTTAATGGTCACTGTCGAGCCTCCAGGCGTAATATGTTCAAGGATTATACTTCCGTGCATTCGAATCTTGGTGCAAGTCACGGTCTTACTGAAAGCCGGCGTGAAATAATACTTCTGTTTGACCGTTGAGCTTTGACCTTTGAGCTCCCCTCAAGGCTAGCAACGTATTTGGAACCCCACTGGTGTTGTGGGTGTCCATGAGTGGCGCCGATTGCTTACCATCAGGTGATCCGTCCTCTCCTTGGCCCCCTGCTCCATACAAACAATGAAGATTAACCTTGCGATCGCTTACTTCTTTACTTTAGACCACACATTGATATTCACGCGTTTTCGTTTTGAGTTTTAATTGTTTACCGATATTCGTTCGAGTATTACGAAAGACTTTTTTGCTCAAAATCTCGGACATTTTTTTTTATTTCAATATTTTCAATGATATAAAAATAATTTCTGTGAGAGTTCCTTCCAGGTTTTGTCTAGAGTGCCATCTGTTAGTTCGGCTGCGAACCAACAGTTGTATTACTTTGATTAGATAGTTCTCAGATACCTGCATAGATGTCACTATATTAAATTAATTACTGATCAAGATATTCCGACAAATAAATTAGTTCTTGAGACAGTATTATCAGTTTTCGGAGCAAAGGACCACTTTTGGAATGCGGGTTTCACTTTGGAGATTGCAGATTCAAAGGAGCGCTGCTGCCTTGTTAAGTCAAATATGTAGTCCTTTCGATACTCACGGCTACTCTTGAGTATAGTTGATGATAAATGTATTCTGTCCTGCCGTCTCCTAACTGGTAGGTGGGTACATACATTAGTGTAAGTAACGACATAGGTATCTAGTATTCCAGACAATTACAATTTCAAATGATCTTCATTTGTTTGTGTTGCTACCTTCTCGCCGGGAGACATGAATAATTGTATCTTCTTATTCTAAATTTAAATATTTATGGAAATATCGTACGAATGATTTAGACAATAGTGCTTGTATCCACGTTTACAGGATTTGTTATGAATTTGAATTAAAATTAGAATAACAACAAGAGTACCGTCAGAACACAGTATCTATGCGTTTAAGAATAAGCAATGTAGGTAAACTATGTGATTAAAGATAGAACTTAATTCTCACTAGCACTTTTCCAAACCTAAGAAACAAATTACTACCAATAAGACAGAAAATTAATTAAGTATATATAAAATTCAAAGGTGATTGACTGACTGACTGACTGACATAGTGATCTATCAACGCACAGCCCAAACCGCTGGACAGATTGGGCTAAAATTTGGCATACAGATAGATGTTATGACGTAGGCATCCGCTAAGGAAGGATTTTGATAATTTCCACCCCCAAGGGAGTAAAATAGGGATGAAAGTTTGTATGAGACTTTGTCAGTTTTAAACCGATCGGGTTGAAATTTGGCATGCAGATAGATGTTATGACGTAAGCGTCCGCTTTGAAAGGATTTTGATAATTTCTACCCCCAAGGGGGTAAAATAGGGGATGAAAGTTTGTATGAGACATTGTCAGTTTTAAATCGATCGGGTTGAAATATGGCATGCAGATAGATGTTATGACGTAGGCATCCGCTGTGAAAGGATTTTGATAATTTCCACCCCCAAGTGGGAAAAATAGGGGATGAAAGTTTATATGAGCCTTTGTCAGTTTTAAACCGATCAGGTTGAAATTTGGCATGCAGATAGATGTTATGACGTAAGCATCCGCATTGAAAGGATTTTGATAATTTCCACCCCCAAGGGAGTAAAATAGGGATGAAAGTTTGTATGAGACTTTGTCAGTTTTAAATCGATTGGATTGAAATTTGACATGCAGATATATGTTATCACATAGGCATCGGCTAAGAAAGGGTTTTGATAATTTCCACCCCTAAAGGGGTAAAATAGGGGATGAACGTTTGTATGAAGCTTTGTCAGTTTTACACCGATCGGGTTGAAATTCGGCGTGCAGATGGATATTATGACGTAAACGTCCGTTTAGAAAGGTTTTTGAACATTCTCACCCCAAAGTGGGTAAAATAGGGGGTGAAAGTTTGTATGATACTTTGCCAGTTTTAAATTGATCGGGCTGAGACTTTGCATGCATAAAGTTACTATGACATAGGTATCTCTTTAGAAAGGATTTTGATAAATTCCACCCCTAAGGAGATAAAATAGGGAATGAGAGTTTGTATAAATCTTCTTAGCCGTTGAATTTAGAATCATTGAATCTTTTTGAATTACATTCGGTAAAACAATGATTTAGGTCCTGGGTAACGTATGATAGTTATTTCACAGATGTCTCACGAGAACGGGAACTATGCGTCAATGCCCCAGGACTCTCTAACTCTTAACCACTGTACTTATTCTAGAGAGATTCGGTACAACAATAGTCGATAGAATAGTTTTTATTA